CTGTGTGCCCGGCGCCCTTGGCCCCCCCCTCCCGAGTCCTCTCCCACAGGCCAGCGCCGGAGCGTGGGGCTTGTGCGGGTCTGGCCCCTCTCGGAGAGCGAGTCGTTCCCCAGCAGCTGGATCGCGTTTCGGAGTGGGACGGGGGAGCGGCCTTTGTGCAATTCCGCCCTTCTTTGGGTGACGCACAATCGATTTTACAAACACCCCCGCCCCCAGTTTAAAATGAGTTTTGCTATTTTGTGAACACAGATCTTACTGACCCCTGAAAAGGGGTGAGAACACACTGCTATCCTGTAACAGGCAATACGCTTACAAGTGAGAGCCTTAGTGACCCATCTTTTGCCTTCAGTTTATCTTCTGTAAATGCCCCAAGATATTTTATAATTGAGACAAGAACTTTGTGGTTTGGGATGAGTTGCTGCAGCCAGAGTGTTTATGAAGGGTAAAACCACCGTGTAAAACTTCCACTGTTTACTGGAACCTACAGATTATCCTTTTGTTCTGTTGCTTAATTGTTTTTGTTTAGTCATTTCTTTGTACTGAGGCAAACTTTGTGCTGTTTCTGAGCAAATTTTAGTTTGAGTACTGTTGAAAGATATCTTGAATGCAAAAATACTTATTGCTAGCATTTATGATTACATTTATGCTCTGGAGCTTCTATTAAGACTCTGGTACATCAGCACAAATATTTGGTGATGGGAGATGGCATTCATTTGATCTTGTTTCAGATTGAATGACTACAGTGGAGCATCTTCCCTTAGTGTTCTATTTATGTAATTTTTTTCAAATTTAATCTGTTGGAATAGATTACTTTATTTTAAAAAACAAATGTTAAATGACAAGTCAATTCCTTCAAGTCTGACTTGGTGCTTCTCTAAGGCAGGCAGGACATTTTATGGCAACATTTGGCAGATTTAAAACAATAGCTTTTATTTTGGCATTGGTTTAAGTACATTATTGCTTGTTAACTGATATCCTGTTCTCTGGGCTTTCAAACTGTCAATATTGTAATGTTTGAACTATACAAATTAATTTACATAAATTGTTTTGGAGGGAGGGATTTTGGAGGAAACTGCAAGTTTTGGCAGCAGAATGGGGGGACGTTTAAGGTTTCTGGGGTCTGGGAAAGTATGAGACACCTTTGAATTGCATATTAGCGGGATGCTTCTGATTAAGTGCTTATCAACTAAATAGCTAATAACAACCAAAATGTTAGCATTAGTTTCCAGTCAATAGGCTATTGGAGGAGAATGGGGAAGACTGCATTTCTCAAAGCTATTTTCTTGGTCTGTCTGCAGGCTCAGGAAAACAGCATGTAGGTTAGACTGAGTTAATGCTTTTAACCTTTCCTGTGTAAACAGTAAAGATCTTTTTCTCTTAAAATAATACATCGACTGTTGCTCAGCACAAGCTGGTCATGTGGCAGATCCCATTATTCTGGAATGCACTAGGCTGTGAAGGTAATGCCAATGATGTTTATTGCATTGCTAGGGGATAGTACTTTTAAGGTAGTAGCTGGGGCTTCACAAACAGGATTTACTGCATTTTAACTTGGTGAAGGTTGCTCAAGTGCATGTTTTCAGAGCAATCCAATCAGTACACAGCACAGTAATCATTGATATGTTTGCAGAATACAATATTAATACAAGCAGTAGCCTTCCACCATCAATATAGTAAACCGTGCTAGTACCCTTTCTGTCCCTTTGTTTCAGTTCATGCTGCCAACCCTTGGTACATACGTACTAGAACTGAGAATCACACTGAAATACACAAGTACCTCTTCAGTTAACTATTTTGTTGGAGCATATTATGCGTATACATGTGAAAACAGTTTCATAGATTAGGATAAGATTTCCATGGTTTGGTTAATGTATATTTTAATTGACGTAGTTTTATAGTGGTACTGTAGATGTTGCTTTTCAAAGGGAAGTAACAAAGTAATCAGTGCTTGAATTCTTTATGTAGTTACTAGAAATCCTAAAACTTTAATTTAAATACTACGCAGTCACATTTTAAGAAATGTTCTCTAATTGTATATGCTTCAAATTCATGGGTTCCTACCTTGAGAAACTCAACCTCTGAAAATTAGTTTCTTCTCAGTTCTGGCTCAAAAATTAGTGCATGATATTCAAAACTGTAGCCGTTATTATTCAACTGTAGTTTGTGCCATTGCAGCATGATTTAAGTTTGTGGCATCTATTTTCATTTCTGCAAGGTTGCCCTTGACTGGAATATCTGAGTGGTAGTTGTGTTAAAGATGATATTGTTAAAGTGCTAGAGGCACAATGTTTTCATTATTGTGATCTAAGGTAGGTGATGCTGGTATTGTACAGCATGATGCCTTTGCCACGATGTATTATTTTGCTGTTTTAGTGTTTGGATAGTTAGGAAATACATGTTAACAACCTTTATTCTAATGAACAAAGGCTTTTTTGTGTCCGTATGAGAGAAGTTAAGTAAGTCAGGTGGGCCTCAGTAATGCTGCTGTTAAATCTCCTAATTTACCTTGCACAGTCTTAGTCCAGAATAAGTCTTCACATGGGGAATTATTCCAGAGTAGCTATAGCACTTTCAATACACCCTGCCTTATTGTGGAGCAACTTCCTCATATTGACAAGCCTTGACTCTTCTTAAATTGGAAGATCTAGAACAGAGCTTGAAAAATTCAGTTACCAGAGTAGGAAACTTTTTTCCTCCTTGGAGAAAAGGGAACCTAACCTGTAATTAGCTGCAGACCTAGCTTTCAGTTAGAAACAAATCCAAGTCCTCTTCCATACACTTCTGACTCCATAGTTGTAAACAAAATTTTCCAAACACAAATAGCAGCTATGTTGTCTCTCTAACGCTTGTGACAGACGGCTATTCAGTGCTGCTGTTGCTCAGAGCTTTCCTGAGCCCCAGCAGAGTTAAAACAAAATGTTCTGATTAATTTCACAGCTGATTTTTGGTAGTTGCAAAGCTTAAAATCATCTCAGTTTCATTCTGCTGCTGTTTATGAAAGAGGTGAATGTCAGTAGGGACAGTCCTTGAACCTATTGATTGTTTTGTAAGGCTCAAATGCAAGCTGGAGTACTGGTGATCTTTGGAAGGGAAGGCAAGGTGTTTGACTGAAGAAGAAAGTACGTTCTCCATTCCAGCCACCAGAGTAGAGTTTACATTTATCAGACACTTACTAGCCAAAGGATAGTGCTCCCAGGCAGGGTCTGAGGCAGGCAACCCCGGTAGAAATGAAGGATGTTAAATATCAGTGAATTGACTAGTCAGGTAGTGGATGGAATTTCCATCGACTAGTCGATAGGCACTTCCGCATTCCTCCTTTGAAAAGAGGAATGTGGAACACCACGTGTAGCCCGGGGCCAGTGGGAAGTCCCGCTGACTCTGGGCTGCATGCAGGTGCCAGCTTTGAACTGTACAAGAGTCACCCGCTGACCCCGGGCTCCATGCTGCGCTGCAGATTTGAAATGCCACGGGAGCTGGGGTCAGATGAGGACTCCTCACGGCATATCAGTGGAACCCAGGATCAGCTGGGGAGTCCCCAACTGACCCCCGGGCTCCAAGGGGTCAGCGGCTCAAGCTGAGCGGGCTTACCGGTGCTGGGCTGCCCCTTTGCAATGCCGAGGTGGCGTTCAAAGAGGCAGCGCAGCTTAGCTGTTTAGCGCTGCCTCTTTGAACGCCATCTCCATGTTTAAAAGGGGCAGCCCTGCACAGATGAGCCCCTTTAAAGTACCCTGTTTCTCCCCCCCCTTTGCTGACTCTGTCTGATAGAGGCAGCAAGGGGGTGGGGGGATTGACTAGTTAATTGTCTGCTAAGGTTGTACTTACCAAATACAGGCAGTCCCCGGGTTACGTACAAGATAGGGACTGTAGGTTTGTTCTTAAGTTGAATTTGTATGTAAATCGGAACTGGTACATATTGTAGGGGAAACTCTAGCCAAACATTTCTCCAGAGCTCAGTTTTATTCTCCCACACCTCACTTCTCTCAGTCCTTTATTCTCAAGCTGAGGTGTCTGCTGAGAGAAGCCGCTCCTCATCTCCCTGATCTGCTGAGGGGGGCGCTAGCTTCGCGTTTCCCTGGTCTGCTGGGGGGAAGCAGCTAGTGCGGGGTTGCCTCACCCAGTTTGTAAATAGGGATCTGATGTAAGTCGGATCCATGTAACCTGGGGACTGCCTGTAGTCGACTAGTCCTTAACATCCTTAATAGAAATCCCTGCATCCTCCCTCTTGAACATGCATATGCTGCACTTCTGTTGTCTCTGAACACTAATAGGGATGGGGGCCTCTGGCTTATCAGTGATTGGTGATTTTTTTTAAGACTAATTCTGTGATATTAATTTTTTTTGTCTACAACATCATTTGGATGTATGAGGATTCTGGCTTTAATTAAAGGAATTTATAAAAAGCAGGAGCAGATGAACTTTTCTGGTTTTTAAAAATAAAATAATCCTGTATTGGAAGACTGGCAGCTCTGTAAGTTAGCCATATGTTTGCTATTAATTGTTTTTGCAACCTTCAAGAACATTTGCTTGTCAGTTGTTTCAAAGCCTTGCTGTTGTAAACAAGTCACAGTTGCAGAGGGTGCCTTGGATTGCTTTCAGAGAGCAATTAGCCAATTTAGAATATATGTAATATTCTGCCATTGTTTAGTGTTCTTGCTGACTCGAATGGGTAAAACCTATAGGCAGTGGCTGTATTTTTGGAGTGGATGGGGAGTTGCTTCAGCTCCCACTGGTTAACCATTTACATCCCTACTAAAAAATAGAAGGTGCACAGCTGGTTGAAAGGCTGAACTCCAAGGCTGTGTCTACATTGGTGCAGTCTTGCGCAAAAGCAGTCACTTTTGCACAAAAACTTGCTGCCTGTCTACACTGGCCGAGAGTTCTTGCGCAAGTACACTGACATTCTAATGTATGAAATCAGTGCTTCTTGAGCAAGAACTCTGATGCTCCCACAAGAGTTCTTGAGCAAGATCATGCCAGTGTAGACATAGCCCGAGTGGTTTCAGTGGTTTGTTGTCCGACAGGGAGGGCATATCTATGGGGGTCTTGCCACAGTCTGTCTTGAGTGCAGTGCTAGTCAGTATTTTCATGAATAACTTGGATAAGAGAGTGGAGAGTTCGCTTGTAAAACTTGTGGGTGACACCAAGCTGTAGGGAATGTTAAAACTTGAGAGGACAAGATTAGAATTCAAAATAATCTTTGCAAATTGGAGAATTGGTCTGAAATCAACAAGATTTAAATTAAATAAAGATAAATGTTTAATATTAAAATCAAATGCCTAACTACATAATGGAGGATAACTGGATAGGAGGCAATACTCCTGAAAGATATCTGAGATTTTAGTGGATCACAGCTTAAATAAATCACAATGTGGCGCAGTTGCAAAAAAGGCTAATCTCATTCTGAGGTGTACTAGCAGGAGTGTTGTATATCAGATATGACAG